GCATTATAATTTATACGTTAATAAATTATAACGTACAATTATTATATGTATAAATTATAATACAAGAAAGTATAAAATGTAAACGATATTTCGGTTAAAGATACAGTCTGTAGGTAAATCAGATCAGTCTATCCTCGTTAATTTCAGTTTGACGATGAATAGATTGTTTCGAATTAAAACTCGAGAATATTTACTAAACAATAATTGAAAAATATAAAAGACTTACTTACTGCCTACGTGGCTAAAACATAAATTATCTATAATGTATCCATAATACTAAGCCAACGTAATACCACATATATGCAAACATATTTTTATAATTTAAAATTAAGAAGTGTTGGGGAATTTTGTTTTGTTTAGGAAGCGTTGTCCAATCCAAACACAATAAAACAATAACGTACACAATATACAAACGATAATAATAATTTGTGGTACAATGGCAATTAAAATATTATAAATAACAATATAATAACTATTATTCATTTAATTATTTACGTTGTTCGAGTTTGGACTTGGTTTCTAAAATATTTCGAATAAGGTAACAGTCGAGTTACTATAATTTGAGTGATAAATTACACGGTTACATATCGAGATATCCCAGTTATTCTAGACAATCGATTAACTGATTATATGCCAACCACTAACTACTTTAATATCTTATGTTCATATGTACCAAAAGAGTCGGCCGACACTTTCATCGGTGTCAAGTTTCTCCCGCAGTTGAACCGGCGTCAGATTGACCGTATAGTTGTTGATACACCAATCACACTAATTACAACGACATTAAGTAAATCATTTTTAAGAAAATGTTGTTATAAATACATTTTGAAGACGTTTTAAATTGAATACGGATATATTATCAACAATGATAATATTTAATAATTTAAATATTTACACTATGAAATTTCAAGAACGCATAGAGAACCACTCCGATATGGATATAGGGAAATCGGAAAGTATTACAGGACATTAAAACACCGCCGATCACGAGATCCTCGAATTTACTGTAATATTAATTTTTAATCTTTAAAGAATAGTTCATGTTTATATATTTTGAAACATAGCAAAAATAAATATTGTGAGAATCCGACGTAGCTTTTCAACATATTTACTCGATTAAAAATGAGTTAATAGCCGTTTGAAATTATTTCATAACTCTGTAAATACTAATATCTTCTTACAGCACACATAAATAATAAAAGAAATGCTACTGCATGAAGATTAATACAATTGTATGATAAACAATAGTAAATATCAACGTAATGTTGTTTTCTCTTATGACCATGCATAAAACATATTCTACAATTTTATAAAATATCATGATAAGAATAATAGTATTTATGAATATTACATGTTATAGAATATAGTCTCAAAACCATATAAAGTCACTTAAATTAAAAAGTTAATTTCAAAAATTTTATTGGATAAGTCAAACTTTTAAAAATATTATCCTCGCAAAATGGGACATACAGAACGCAGCCTGCTGCAACGGATAGATATAGCCACCACGGGCAGTATTATATTATTAACTGGGATTACTTGGTCAGTTCGCGTACTGTCTAATCGGCTTGTTAATAATTAAAATAAATTAATTACACACAAGGTACTCAAAATCACTTAATAATAGTTTACGCGAACCAGTGACGTATTTTGGAGACTTATTTTGTGGTACATCTCTGCTCTAATACTATCTCCACAAATTTTAATAGTTTCATCATCCTTAGATTATACAATATCTTAATAATTTATATAAGTGATAATTTTCTTATAAAAATCTTAAGATTACTACTTAATTTTAGCTAATAAATTATGACAGATATAAGCTATAAACAATTCAGTCAAATAAAATAAATTATTCAACCATTAAAGTTATTAGTATTTTTCATACATCAGTTTAAATTTATTTTGTATACTCGAATATTGTTATAAATTTATTAAAAGAAAAACATTTACATTTAAACTACTTTAAAGGTAGGCAATCTTTTTGTACAATGTCACACTTTATATCTTTGGCTTTATATAGTGACAATAATAACTGTTATACTAGAAGAAAGATAATAAGGCGACGATAACATAAACACTGTGACATAAGAACAATATTACAATATTCTAAATTACATATTTCGCAGTTTACTCAGTACAAATAATATTTACTAGACTAATGCCAATTATCTGGTATAAAATTAATTAATATACATTATTCAGACACAAAAGTTTAATAATATTTTATCATCATAAGTCAACAATATTTTGCGATACTTGATGTGAATAGAACGAAAAATTTGGGAGAGAATTATCTCCCAGATTTTTAGGATATCATCCAATATCATTGACGATATAAATGTCTGTACTGAAATATCTATATTAATAATTATACCAATAGTAACATTAATCTTAATCATCTTCGTACCATAAAATATCAAGAAGTATAAAATGTAATAAGTATAATATAAAATGAAAATAATTAATAAGTATAATATTACGTTATTATTTTAATGTTTCTTATTATTTTTTTATATTTCTTATTTTTAGTTTTGTATTAATGTATATATAATTTCAATTTTACGACGAAGAACGTGGTGAACCAAGACCTAGCACAAACTGAATACCTAATGAACTAATAAAAATGTTGTAACATATATTTTAATCTAATAACTCTTTTGTAGACATAAGATTTAAGTAAAATTGAATTAATGAAATAACAATATTGTTTATCTTCAATTTCTAGCCTTAGTTTTTTATATCATAAATTGTGAACTGGAACGGGTGATTATAGATGTTAGCCAATCATATTTTTATAAGACCCTAAATAATTTCTATTATAGTGTTACTAAGTATTAAATTAAAAAATCTACTTTTCTCCAAAATTGTATTCTAATTTTAGTATAATAGTTTTGACCATACCATGTAATAATATTATACAATAATAATGTAACACAGATCTTTGTATTCCCAATATATAAACTTCAATATATTATGTGAAGTAATATCTAATAAATTACAATGAAAGTATATATTTTTTAAATACAAGTGTTGATATTAAGTAGTATTATATAATTGTGTAAATAAGTGAAAAAATAATTTATAAAAAAAAAAAAAAAATATTACAATAATAGACATTATGTAATATTAATTATGAATGTAAAATTATTTATTTTTAAACTATATTTTCCCAACATCTTAACAAAATTCAAAAACAGCAGTAGGTATAATTTCATTTTTTTTACTTAATTCATGAAATCAAAACATGAACTATTTTTAGAATGTAGTATATTTTATGATATAATTAATTCACTTTTTGTAAATGTATAAATACTTTTTCTTATAGGTATAGCAGGCTTGACATTACCTAATTCGTCAAGTATCTTAATAGCAATACATCTGATTTTAACAAAGTGGTTCCAATATTTTTAATGATAAAGATTTATAATTAAAATTACTTTTTAAATAATTTAATGCAGTTTTGTAGAATTAATCTTAGTTTTTTTTATGATATTTATGAGATACTGGTAATTTATTTTTCAATATGATAAAATTAGAGCTGTAAAACTGTTTGCTTATTCGAGTTGAAGTATTAATTTTTAGCTTATTTTCGATATAAAATAACTCATTACAACTCGTATTATATTTTTGAAGTAATTTTTAGGTTTTTTAAATAAGTGTTCTTCGATTTCTGATTCGTCTTTCTCATTTCAGAACATTTTTAGATTTCTTTTGGGCATTCGTCACCAAGAGATATAAAATGAGATATCAATAACATAACAAATTCTTTTAAACCTTGATGTCTAAATGCTGATACAAAAAAATAAACATATGTTTTTAGTATTAGTTTCCCAATCATAAATAAGATCATGCTAAACTTTTTAAGTATAAAAGCATCATGTGTGCTAAGCAACCAGATTTTAAAGGTCCAAATTTTATTATTTTAAAAATCCCAAAAAATTACTTAAGACTGGGGTCAGCTAAAAATCATATTGTAACTAATTTTATAGACTCGGGCTAGGCTCATGTAGATCTTTATAATACACATATATAAATTTAGTTGTTAAAAATATTTGATAAGTAATTTTATCTTGTCTAATGATAGTTATCAAAGTTTAATGAAAACAATAATTGTTAAATGTCAAAAGGAATTAAAGGATATTCAAATTTTTATAATTGAATTGTTTTGTTTATAATTTGTATATGCTAAAGATAGGGTAGTACTTATAATATTTTTTATTTTCTATATTTTATCAAATATTATAATTCAAGGTTTTTCATGTGTCTATCTAACTTCAAATCATCTATACAGTACTCTACATGTTTATAGTTTATATTTTATTCTTAGTGAAACTTTTAGAAATAAAAACTTTTATTTAAGTAGATTAATTTGAAATGGAACAAAATAAACCACCTTCGAGGGGAAAATCTCGTGGACGTCGTCAAGTAGCAACAAATCAACAGGGTTTGTCTGGACATTCTCAGGAAGTTAGAGAAACTAGACCATCACAATCTACACAATCTACTGATCCAAGACCTACCACATCACAGTCAACACCAAGGTTAGGTGCACCTGTACAACATCTACCTAGTCAAAGGCCTCCACGAGCTGCTGGTGCCCCACAACAAAGGGTCTCTAGACCTCATGGACCAAGACCTGTAATTTCTAGTTCATCTCCTAAACAAGACCCAATGTCAGAAGTAAGTATCCCTTTGAAATATCATACTACTTAATACTTTTATATGCAATGTTTTTTAAGGTGCAACAAGTTACAGAAGGACTTAAAACTTTGGATGCAGGTAATACATATTTTGTACACAGCTCTGTATTAATTATATTAAAAATATAAATGATGAAACTTTTGTCTTAAATTTTATTAATTCAATTTCATGTTTATTTTTATGATGTTTAACATTAGTGAAGGGATTCTTGTTATTGCTTTTATAATTTACAAATTGTACTAATTTAATTTTTTTTTTAATTACATAGATTACTCATAATAAAAATTATTTTTATACATTTATAAAAAAAACTATTATCTTTAGGGCAGGGTGCAGTACAAGGACAAACACTAAGAGAACATGAATATTTTAGGAGACCAAGACCTCAATCCTCATTGGGTGCTAAAGGAAAAACAGGTTAGTTATAATTTAAATAGATTTTTTTTAAATATATTAGTTATGTATATGCCTTTAATATTGAATAAGATCAATTAACTTATTGCTGATTAGCATATCATACGCATAATAATAATCACTTCAAACATTTTTAATGTCCCATAACTGATCCATTGAGTTGTAATGAATTATATTGATTAATTTTTTATGCAACCCGACTTAAAACTTGTACCAAGGTTATAAAAATTTTATAAAAAATATTTTCCCACAACGACTAAGAAATAGAATTATTTTTAAAATTATTAGTGATTTACTATAAATATTTATGATATTTTTTTGATATATTGAAATTCTTCACAAACATTATTGAAACTTGTATATGTATTCAGTTTTGTTATTATACCTTCTGCTGTATTTTAATATCTGTATATTAATACTGTTTATTTTATAACTATGTATTTTATTCTTCTAATTTTTCTCAGGAGCAAATGGGCAGACTGTAAAATTGTTGGCTAATTATTTTCCAATCACTTCATATACAGATTGGTGTTTGTATCAATATAAAGTTGTCTTTAATCCTGAAGAAGAAAGAATTAGCACTAAAAGAGGATTATTAGCTCAGCATCGAGAACGTTTAGGAGGATATTTATTTGATGGAGCAATGTTATTTTCTGGAAGCCGATATGATCCATCAGTAAGTCGTTTTTAAAAATAAATTATAATTGATCAATTGTTTATATATATTATTTTATTGATTATTGTTGTCGTAGTATTAGGTTGTAAGAAAATGGAAGTAATATATTAATGGGTTAAATAATAAATAGAATAAATTATTAATGGTAATGACCAAGTAATGTTTATTTGTAAGATAATGGTCTATTAAATGTTAAATGATTGTGTTTAAGCAACCTAGCATTGAAATGTTATAAGTAAATTTTGATATTTTTTTTAGACTTTTGAACTTACATCTATACGTCGCTCGAATGAACAAAAAGTTATTATTAAAGTGAAATTCACAAATATAATAGAAACTGGTGATCATGCCAATATTCAAGTCTTCAACTTACTTTTGCGTAATTGTCTTCGACACATGAATCTAACATTGATTAAAAGAAACTTTTATGATTCTAATGCCAAAGTAAATATTTTTATTTCAAAAGTATTATATTTATTATTTTTCTGACCTTTTATAATTGCTTTTAGATTGACTTACCTCGACATAAGCTCCAACTTTGGCCAGGTTATGAAACAACAATCGGCAGATATGAAGATAACATTTTACTATGTGCAGATGTATCTACAAAAGTCCTGCGCCAAGAGAATGTATTAGATATTTTAAAAAAGTGTGTTGCTGAAACGCAGGGCAAAGATTGGATGGTGAGTTTGTAAAGATTTTATGGAATTTCAGTATAACTAAATTTTGATAAATACTTAAAGGAGTAATACATTTCATTTTTTAGAATGAATTTAAATCTCAAGTTATTGGCACCATAGTTATGACTATGTACAACAATGCAACATATAGAATAGACGATGTAGATGAAAATTCAAACCCAAATTCTAAATTTGATAAAAAAGATGGATCTAAAATGACTTATATACAATATTACAAAGAAGTACATAATTATCATATAAATATTCATCATTATAAACTTAAACTAATGAATTGATTACTGTTTTAGAGATGGAAACAAACAATTCATGATGGCAAGCAACCAATGTTGATTTCAAAAAATAAAAAATCTATAAAACAATTTGGAATTGAAAATTCATTGGTGTATCTTGTTCCTGAATTATGTAATGTAACTGGTTTAACTATGAAAATGAGGTAGTAAATTAAAAATGAATTAAACTCAATGCATATAAACCATCTTGTGTTTTGAATTTTAGACAAAATCACTTTCTGATGAAGGATATGGGTACACATACCCGTATAGATCCCAAAAATCGCATAGAAAGACTAACAACTTTTGCAAATCGTCTTCTTAATACACCCGACGTAAGTTATTTATGAACATTATGAATTTGTTTTTTTGGAATAATTTAATTTTATGCAAACGTTATTTAATTGAATATAATTATTTCAATATTTAGTCTGTAACTGAATTAAAAAGATGGAACCTGACATTAAGTAATAGTCTCATTGAATTAACTGGTCGTATTCTACCACCAGAACAAATTAAAAGTAGTGCTACTGATAAGAATGGGTATAGTGGTAATAATGATGGAGATTGGACACATCATTTACGGAAATTACCAATGTTCAAGCTTAAAAATGTGAAGAAATGGATTATAGTCACCTCAATAGAATATGAGAGAGATATTAATCCATTTGTTACTTCACTTACAAAATCTGCGAAAGGAATGTCTTTTATGCTACCCAATCCTTCTATGTAAATATTTTATGATGTAATATTTTTTTGAAATCTAATGAGTTTCATTTATAGAGTCACCATAAATGATGGAAGACCTATTAGTTTTTTAACAGCACTTGAAGAATCCATTAACGCAGTGAATCCCGCATTGATTTTATGTGTTATCCCAAGCGGACATAATGATTTATATAATATAATTAAACGAAAGTTATGTATCGATAGAGCAGGTATACTTCTGATATATATTTATATATAAATTTGTTAATATATTGGTTTCTTTACATCAAAACCTTTGTTTTCAGTACCATCTCAAGTAGTACTGGCAAATAACGTAAAAAAGAATAATTTGTCAGTGTGTACAAAAATAGCTATTCAAATAAATTGCAAACTTGGAGGTGTACCTTGGCTAGTTACCATACCTAAACCAGTAATAATAGTTAAACTATCAATATTTTGGAGTATACAGATCAATTGCAATTACTTTTGCTTAAAATTTTTTAGGGAATTATGATTATTGGTTTTGATGTATGTCATGACAGTCAACGTTCAAATATATCATTTGGAGCTTTTGTAGCTACTATGAGTAATGATTATTCAAGTTATTTTAGTTGCGTTGAACGTCATGAAAGTGGACAGGAACTTTCTGTTAATTTTGCTTCATGCATAAGCAGTAAGTACTTGTGAAATTTTTCATTTACGTTAATGTTTTTCTTTATTTTTATAAGTAATTTAGTAGTAATTTAACTCGATTTTCTTTAAATATTCTGTATTATAGATTAAAGAATAGAAATAAATATTCTAAATTGTGAATAGTGATTTTTTTGCGATCTGATATTCAAAGAAAATAATTATAAAATGTTATATCATTTTTTAGAGGCTCTGGCCAAGTATAAGAATAAAAATGGTCAATTACCTGCTTCCATTATTGTGTATAGAGATGGAGTTGGAGAAGGCCAAATATCGCATGTTCATAAGATAGAAGTTAAACTATTACAGGTATGTTTGTTTAAAATATTTTAAATTTTCTTTTAATTAATTTTTATTTTCTTAGACTGCTTGTGCAAAAATATATGGGACAATGTCTGTCCCATTTACATTTATTATAGTTACTAAACGTATTAGTACTAGATTTTTTGCTCTTAGTCAAAGCGGTCCTAAAAATCCTCAACCTGGTACAGTTGTTGACACTGTTGTTACAGACCCAACCAAGTAAGCTATGCATAAAAATTTGAAATCTTACCTAAATGTACACTTTTTTAATTAAATTAAATCAACTATTCCACTGTAGTTGGTGTGGATAATTCACAGTTTTACATTTGTTAATTTTATGTGTATGTATTCACATAATAGACTCTCGATTAACTGTGTTCTATCTTTAGTATATACTTTAAGTAAGGATTATGTGAATAAGCAGTACATAATATATTTTTAATTTTGACTTTCATGATGTTGTGAATTAAAAAAAAATAAGAAGTGAAATAAAGTAAATCTTTTCTAAAAGCTAAAAACAAAGAGTAATTACTTCATATTTTAAGCCTGATATAACTTAATCACATGATAATATACATATGTGTATAATATAATATTATTAAATAATTACAAAGTTATGATTTATTGAGGTTTTCATTTATCTGTATGAACCCTTTTCACTATTGCCCAGAATAATCAAGGTTCTACTGTAGATTTATACTCGCTATTCTCATGCACTTGTTTTCTGTTATAAATGATACCTCTTTTTGATTCTAAATGTTCCATTGCTTACTCTATACTCTGTGTACAAGCATAGAAAAGATTAAGTTTCTTTGAAAAATTTGTTTTTTACCCTTGAGCATATTTTATCATTTTCAATGTGTTTTAACAAAACACAAAATACGAGTTGAGCGTGACGATAAATGGTTGGTTTTGATTAAGTATTTAATACAGATCTTATAATTATACAATGATAACAACAATTCTATTTTCTGTTATCTTTTCCTATCTATAAAAACAAAATATTGATCTTAAAAATTCCTATGTAGGCCGAGTCAATCTATACTCTTATAATTCTTTCTTAATATGCACTCACTTAAATTATGAAACAAAGCTACTGTAAAAAACTATTATAGTTTAGTTCCATGCTGATTATTAGTCAGGACAAAGCTATCAAGATATGCAAACAATATTATTTATCGTACTGTAATAGAAAAACAAGGAAGTATACATAATGTAATACCTATAAATCATGAATTGCAGGTATGATTTCTTCTTGGTTTCACAACATGTAAAAGAGGGCACTGTAACTCCTACACATTATAATGTGATTGAAGACACATTTAAGCTTCCTCCCGATTATATGCAAAGACTTACATTTAAATTGACTCATATGTACTACAATTGGTCGGTTAGTATATTTTTGTGATCTATTTTTTTATTTTTATTATACACTAATAACATTTTTCTTATCTAGGGTACAATACGGGTTCCTGCTCCATGTCAATATGCTCATAGGTTAGCATTCCTTTCTGGTCAGACTCTCCTACAAGCTGCCAACACTGCATTGGATGAATCGTTATTCTTTTTATAATTGTTTACTTTAAAAATATGGCATTCAACTTGTTAATTACTTCTTTATAAGAATTAATATTTAATATTTATATATTTTCATTTCATTAATCTTTTAATATTGTTTTACGTTAAAGTTCTATTTTATTTTTTGTTTTAGCTAAGTAAATAGCTATTTTTTCATGTCATTTGGTATTATTAACTTAAACATTTGACCATTTAAATTCCCATAAGGAAATTTTAGTAATTACTGTTGATACTATTTTTAATATTGAATAAAGTATACCTATGATAGATTTTTTCTTTTTAAATTTATATTTTTATCTTCCTATTTGTTTTCTGCTATACATTAAAGCTAGTTTTCAAATGAAGAATAACTGTAATTAATTTTAATCTAATAATAATTACTATATTACACACTTTAAATTTAGATTCACTTTAATTTTATGAATTAGCTTGAAGTATTGATGCAAAAAAGGATATCTTTGAAATACAGATATTATTTATAATACTGTTTATAAAAAGTATAATGCTCACTGCACGGAACAAGTATATCTACTTCATTCTAAGTTATTATTTAAATAAATGGTTACAGTGAACATTAAATAGAATATAACATTTTATAAGAATAGTACAATTTATATATATGTATATAAAAACATAATACATTATTAGCACGTATACTAATCTAGGGAATTATTATTAGTAACTAGTAAGTACCTCCTATTAGGTAATACATCAAATTCATGACCAAGTAACAAGTAAGGTGAAATTATTTTACCTACTCAGGAAATTGTCTTCAACTAGTGTTATTTAAATAAACAAATTATTTTAAATTACAATTTATCAAAACAATTATTTCGAATCTACGGCTGATACGACGTAAAGTAGACACGCTACATCATATACTGTTAATACGATAACAATCCTGCTGTAGAACTTTCCTTTGTGAACTTATAAAATATAAACGATATCATATTGAAATATGGATATACGTATATCTACGATCTACCAATAAAATAAATATGAAATTATTTACAGAAACTGGATTTTGAATATTAATATATCGCACTGCTAGAACAAGACTGCCACAACTCAAAATTCATGAATTTTGAGTTATGACTACTGTTGAATAGAGAAAATAAGCTCTATAAATGCAAGAACGCCACATTCAATATAATTTTATTTAGCCACTATAGAGATGTGTCAGTATTGAATTATTTAAATGTTAGTTAATTTCACGTATATTATAGTTTACTAT